GCGCGAGTTTTTTCAGGTGTTGCTCTCTCCGCCCCTCGGCTCGACTGGGCTGGCCCTGGGCTAGCCTGGCCAGGGCGCAGCGGGCGCCAGCCAGCCCGCCCGAAAGCCGCCCCTCCAGGCTGCCTGGCTGCCTGGCTGGCTGGCTGGACCTGGTCTGGGCTGGTCTGGGCTGGTCTGGGCTGGCCTGCTGGGCTGCGCTTGCTGTTGGCCCGCCCGCCGATTCGACAAACGTCGACGGCCACGATCCGCGGCAGGCAGCCAGCCAGGGGCCAGCCAGAGGCACGGCGCAACCGCCCCTCTGCCCGCCCGCCTATCTGCTGTTGGTCGCTCGTTGGCTGTTGGTCAAAGCCCGCCCGCCCGCTCGCCCGTCCCCTCTGGCCTGTTTGTCGCTCGCCGCCACCTCCATCGTCGCCGCTCGACCACCATCATCACCGCCGCATCGTCGCTCCGCTCGATCTCCTTTCTCCCTTCTCGCTCCTCCTGCGCCGCACGATCCTCCTCATCTGCCACGCCTGCTCCGAGCTCACCCACCCCCGAGTCGTCGCACCCTTCTTAACCCTTTGCACTTCTGGCCTGGCCTTGACCTGCTTCAGCTTCAAAAGCCAACAGCTCCGTCACTGCCGTCACTGCCGTAGTCCGCAGACCAGTAGACATTCGCCGCCGCCGCCGTCGCAGCAGCAGCAGCAGTTCGACAGCACACCTCACCGGTCATCGTCGATCTCAGCCCTGCAGCCCCAGCAGATCGCTTCCATCTCGCCTTCACACTCTTTGCCTTTTTCCCATTCTCACATAAACCGACACAATGGTGAGCACCGGCAGCGGGCGCCACGCACGCCGATGCGCTGGCGTCGAGGCGCGAGTGGGCACACTTCGCTGACCGAATTTCTGTCCATTGATCGCTCACTCTCTCGCGACGCTACACAGTGCGGTATCTTTGCCTATGTCAACCACCTCGTGGAGAAGGTGAGCATCGGATGGGCGCTGCTTGAGCAAAGGGGCAGGCGGCGGTCTATCGTGTTGGCGGCGGCGGCCGCCGACCCGATAGGTGCAGAGGCGAGACCAGAATGGAGCTGACGAGATCCGCTCTTTGCCTCGTATTTGTGTTTGCCCCGTCTTGCGTTGCAAAACGTCAGGACCGCCGCCAGGTGATCGACATCCTGGTCAACGGTCTGGCCCGACTCGAGTACCGAGGATACGACAGTGCCGGTGAGTAGCAGGACGGACGAGGTGGTCGCGGAATCTCGATCCTCCGGCACGGCACGAAGGTGCCGGGATCGCTTAGACCCGCCGCTCGATGAGCTCGGGGAGAGAGAGGCTCAAGGACTTGATGTCGCCGAGCGGAATCGCTGACTCGCCCGCCTGTGCTCTGCTCTGCCCTGGCCCGCCTCGCCGCAGGTCTCGCGGTCGATGGTGACAACGAGTCCGACACGCTCATCTTCAAGCAGGTCGGCAAGGTCGCCGCCCTGCGCAAGCACATTGACGAGGCGCCCGTAGACTTCAACAAGACCTTTATCTCGCAGATGGGCATGGCCCACACGCGGTGGGCCACCCACGGCCAGCCGACGCCCATCAACTGCCACCCGCACCGCTCCGACGTCAAGAACGAGTTCACCGTCGTCCACAACGGCATCATCACCAACTACCGCGAGCTCAAGCTGGTTCTCGAGAAGCGCGGCTTCCAGTTCGAGACCGAGACCGACACCGAGGCGGTGGCCAAGCTTTGCAAGTACCTCTACGACTCGGCCACCAGCCGCAAGCCCGACTTTACCTCGCTCGTCAAGAGCGTCGTCAAGGAGCTCGAGGGCGCCTTCTCGTTTGTCTTCAAGTCGGTCCACTTCCCCGGCGAGGTCGTCGTGGCGAGGCGCGGCTCGCCCCTGCTGATCGGCGTCAAGACCGAGAAGAAGCTCAAGGTCGACTTTGTCGACGTCGAGCTCGGCGGCGCCGTCGACAGCTCCGGCTTCGGCGATGCCGGCCTCCTCGCTCCCCCCGGCGGCAAGAACCCCTCGGGCCCCGGCTCGCTCAGCGTGCCCAACGCCAACAACAAGCTGCTCCGCTCCCAGTCGCGCGCCTTCCTCTCCGAGGACGGCCTGCCGCAGCCGATTGAGTACTTTGTCGCCTCGGACGCCAGCGCCATCATCGAGCACACCAAGCGCGTCCTCTACCTCGAGGACGACGACATCGCCCACATCGCCGAGGGCGAGCTGCACATCCACCGCCTGCGCAGGAACGACGGCCTGTCGTCGATGCGCTCCATCGAGACGCTCGAGATGGAGCTGGCCGAGATCATGAAGGGCCAGTTTGACCACTTTATGCAGAAGGAGATCTACGAGCAGCCCGAGTCGGTCGTCAACACGATGCGCGGCCGCGTCGACTTTGACTCGCGCAAGGTGACGCTCGGCGGCCTGTCGGCGTTCCTCAACACGATCCGCCGCTGCCGCCGCATCGTGTTCGTCGCCTGCGGCACCTCGTACCACTCGTGCCTGGCGACGCGCGCCATTTTCGAGGAGCTGACCGAGATCCCCGTCTCGATTGAGCTGGCCTCGGACTTCCTCGACCGCAAGACGCCCATCTTCCGCGACGACGTCTGCGTCTTTGTGTCGCAGTCGGGCGAGACGGCCGACACGATCCTGGCGATGCGCTACTGCCTCGAGCGCGGCGCCCTCTGCGTCGGCGTCGTCAACACGGTCGGCTCCACCATCTCGCGCGAGACCCACTGCGGTGTCCACATCAACGCCGGCCCCGAGATTGGCGTCGCCTCGACCAAGGCCTACACGTCGCAGTACATTGCGCTCATCACGATGGCCGTCCAGCTGTCCGAGGACCGCATCTCGATGACGGAGCGCCGCAACGCCATCATTGACGGCCTCCACGCGCTGCCCGAGCAGATCCGCTCCATCCTCGAGCAGGACAAGGCGCTCCAGGCGCTTGCCCACTCGACGCTGGCCAAGGAGAAGTCGCTGCTGATCATGGGCCGCGGCTACCAGCACGCCACGTGCCTCGAGGGCGCGCTCAAGATCAAGGAGGTGTGCTACATGCACTCGGAGGGCATCCTGGCCGGCGAGCTCAAGCACGGCCCGCTGGCGCTCATTGACGAGTCGATGCCCGTCATCCTCATCATGACCAAGGACTCGCTCTACCCCAAGGTGCAGACGGCGCTGATGCAGGTCACGGCGCGCAAGGGCCAGCCCATCATCATCTGCAACGACGACGACCAGGACATCCAGCCCGGCTCGCGCACCATCCGCGTCCCGCGCACCGTCGACTGCCTCCAGGGCCTCCTCACCGTCATCCCGCTCCAGCTCCTCTCGTACCACCTCGCCACGGCCGCCGGCGTTGACGTCGACTTCCCACGGAACCTGGCAAAGAGCGTCACGGTCGAGTAAGCCGGCGAGCTCGCCAAAGAAACGAGGAGAAGCGAGAAAGACGACGAAAGGAACAGGAGACGACCGTGACACGAGACGAGGCGGCGTCGAGAGCCGGGACCGATGCGTCGCCGCACAGCCAGAGCCAGACGTGGAGACACGACAAAGAGAGGGAGAGAGAGAGACAGGGTAGTGAGGCAGGCCATCCCCCCTTTTTTTCTTCTATGGACCATAGCTCGTCGTGTGTTTTTCCCCCTCTCTTGAGCCAGGCCAGGCCAGGCCTGTCGCTGCACGCTGGCCCTGTCGATCGTTTCGCCCCGGTCCCTCTCCGCGTCTCTCCGGCCCTTGGCCAAACGCCCCCGGGTCTCGCTCGCACCTCTCCCAGGCGCCTCCCTGGCCGCCGACAGTCTCGAGGTTGCCCGTGGTCGTCCCTGTCTCTCGCCCCGCCCTCCAACCTACGATACTCTTTCTTACACGTCCGCGCCGCACCACAACCTCCGGCCACCAACATCTGCCCGCGTCCGCCCCTGTATGAACACACACATCCTCCCATCCCATCTCGTCTCGTACCGTTCCGTCCTGGCAAAGAAAGAAAGTCCCAAATCGATCCGAAGCATCAAATGTTCAGGACGCGGTCACGTCCCTCATGGAAGCCCCGATTGCGAATGGACGATGACATGGCATGAACGACTCTTGAAGCGAGCGCCGCCTGCCTCTCTGCGGCAGGCAGCTCCAAGGACGTGGCGAGTACTGTACCTGGCGGAACGTGCTGCGTCCGAGCCGTTGCTGTTCTCAGTCTCGCACACACATGTACAGCCACCCGGCAAATGCCAGGATGCGGCTCAAGCTTCAGCTGCGGTCTGCTGCAAGCGGTGCAAGGCGGAGGCTACAGTTACCACGTACGCATGTGCGTATCGCTCTACGTTGATCGTCGTCGTCGGAGCGAGGCTCAGTGGAAGTTAGGGGAAGTCGAAGTTGGAGGGAGTATCGTGATCGCGACGCAAGGTTGGCCGTGTGCAGCCACTCGCGTGCAGCGGTACCCCTGCCTGGCCAGGCGCCACCGTGCCGGCCTGTGCTCAGGGCCGCCCGTAGCTATGTGCACCTGTACCCTGCGCACTGATTCGGAACGAGTCGGACCGAGTCGGTCCATCGACTTGTCAGGTCGGCTTCGGTGCGTGCGTTGTAGAGCGGAGCGGAGCGAGCTCGTCTGTCTGCCATGAACAGGGATACGATGCATCGACGGACCGAAGCACCGTGGAGTTAGAGTTGAAAGCCCGACTGCCACCGCTGCCCCAGCCGACGGGACGGCGGTACGTTGGGCAACAACAGCGCAGCGGCGGAACAAGAAAAGCAAAGGCGGAGCAATCTTCATGGTGCCGAGCATGGGGAGGAGTGCGAGTGCGCGAGTGGCGGACACGTCCAACTCTGCCGAGCCTGCTTGACTGCGCCGCCAGCCCCGGCGCCTGCCTCTTTTCCTCGGCGCCCACACCTCGTCGAGTCCGCTCGAGGTGCAAAAGCGCTATGCACGCCTGCTCCGCCCCCGACGTTCCGGAGCCCCGGCCTGCCTGCCCACGAACCAGGTTGCATCGCATCCCAAGCGCGGTGCGGAAGCAAAGGCACCGACGCACGGTCCCACACGGCGGTGTCAACCTTGTTTGTCGACGCCACTCGCCATACCAGGTCCATCGCATCGACGTGGGGGGGCCATCCCGCATCCTGGCGAGCGAGGCTTCGTCGACGGCGCAACCTTCAGCCCGTATTGCCTGCCTCTCGCTCACCCCTCTCTCTCGCACATGCACAACGCCCAGCTCGAGGTGTCGGCAGCGTCTCATGACAGGCACAAGGGCAAGGTGCTGCCTATAAGTTGGGCTCCCTGGGCCCGCCACCACGCTCATCAGCGCGGGCGGACCACACACATCACGCCGCACTCTACCGCACCACAGCCGCAGCCGCCACCCAGCGTTCCACCTTACTCCCATCCTGAGGCAACGCGCACGCCCGCCATGTTCTCGACGCCCTACCCGCTTTCCGACACGACCGTGGCCGACTACCAGGCAAAGGGGCACGTCCTGCTGCGCTCCCTCTTCACGCCAGAGGAGGTGGAGCGGATCCGCAAAGACACGCTCGACACGCACAACCGCCTCCTGCCCGCCCCCGTCGAGGGCCCGCTGTCGACGTACGACAAGGCCTTCAGCCTCACCGAGAACCTGTGGCAGCACTCCGAGGTGCTGCGCGACGTCGTCCTCTCCAAGCGCGTCGCCAGTGAGTCCAGAATGGGGCGTCTGGGAAAAGAGGGAAAGTGGGCACGCGCCGCGCACCTCGACATCGAACTCATCCGGCTGCTGGCCGCCGGCACTCATCCTGCTTCTCCGTCTGGGCATCTTCAGACGTGGCCGCCAAGCTGCTCGGGTGCCGCGACGTGCGCGTCTACCACGACCTGACCTTCTTCAAGGACCCCGTCGGGCCCACGGGCGGCTTCACGCCGTTCCATCAGGACGGCCACTACTGGTGAGCTTGTGCAGTCCTAGCCGCCGTCGCCGCTTTCATGCACGCAACCAGAGCGGCGGAGCGCTGACATCCTCGGCGTGCGACCCTAACCTTGTTCCCCTGTTCCCCCCCCCCCGCCTTGCCCTGCTGACATGTCGACGCCATGCGGTGCCGCGCGGCCTGCCTAAAATCCCCCCGCCTCCGCATCTGCCTCCGCGTCTCCGCCCCATTCTTCCCTCCATCACTGCAGGCCGCTGGACAACCCTAGATGCCTCACGCTCTGGCTGCCCCTGACCGACTGCCCTGCCGAAATGGGGTGAGTACCCAGCGTCGCCTCTGCCGGCCGGCCCGACTGCGGTGCAACCGGATGCGGCATCAAAGACTGACACGGGAGCGGCCCACCGTCGTGGCCCCTGCGGCAGAACCATGTCGTTCGTCGACGGTTCCCACGAGATGCGCGACGCCTCGCACCTCGAAATCACCGACGAGAGCGACGCCCTCATCCGCCAGCTCATCGACACCAACGAGCTCTCGGTCTCGCAGCCTGCCGACCTCGAGGTCGGCGACGCCACGTTGTGAGTCTGCGCATGGTGCGAGCTTGTCTGCTCCCCCGAATGAAAGTGCAGGCCTGGCTCCTGTCCTGTCGTGTCCATTCGCGCCACCCTCGACTCGACCAGCGGGCTGACTGGCACGGCCGACAACGTACCTTGATTCCGCACCGCTTCGCTCCGCCCCCTTTCGCCCGCCCGCCCACTCTCTCGGCGGCAAAGCCACTCGTGCTGGACCATGCATGCGGCCGGGAGCAACCGTTCCGACCGACGGCGCGAGGTATTCGCCGTGGCCTACTTTGATGCCGACGCCGTGGTGCCCGTGCACCCGCCGACCAACAAGCGTCGCGAGGCCAACCTGCACCGCTGGTTCCCCGACGTCGAGCCTGGAAAGCTGGCGGCGTCCCACCTCAACCCCGCTGTGCTCGCCGCCTCGGCTGCTGCCTAGAGCGGCGCGACTACGCTGACCGCACCGCACGGGTTCGGATCGGATCAGGTCGACCCGCTGTACCGGGGTCCCAGTCGAATTTGCCGCGTCCGTCTGGGCGGTGAGACGAGCGCTCGAAGAGCAGAGATCGAGTCACATTGACGAACGAATGGATGCTGTGCATGACCCCGTGTCTGTGTCTGTCGATGAAAGCTGGGAACGGAGTGGGGGAGGGGGAGACACGAGAACGACACGTGGCTACCCTTGTTCGCCGCGACAAACCCCGCTCTGATCCGTGTCGGAGCGGCCAGGCGGATCTCGAGACGTTCCTGCCCCGTAACCGAGTCTGGGCGCCAACCTAACCTTGACCGTACAGCAGCGGCAGCAGCAGCAGCCACGCAGCATGCCTTGCCGGGCAGCTCGTGTCTGTCTGTGCATTGCCGAAGCCGGAACCGGAGCGAGCGACCCAATCTGCTGGCGAGCTTCTCATGGCCCTGCAGCGGAAAGACTACCCCCACCTTCTCTCCCTTCGTCCGTGCCCATCAAGGAGGCAGGGCAAGCGGGCCGTCAAGGTTTGCTATTTTGGACCAGACGGACCTCGCTCGCTCCCTCGCTCCGAAGCGAGAGAAACCCTATTCCGCCTTCCAACTGTGCATGTCGTGCTTCGGCTGCGCGGCCAACATGCGGCGGAACACTTTGCTCCCGCGGTAGGGTTAGGGTGGCGGTGCAGCCCGCCCCTTGCCCTGGTCTCTACCCCGCGCTTACCTTGTCCGCCGACGATGCGTGTGTCCCTGGCGAGGTGGTGGCGAGAAGAGGCAGCGTAGGGCTTGCTGTGGCCGGAACGGCCAACTCGCTCCCGTGAGCTAGGCGGCGTCGCGGCTCGAGTACCAGGCCTTGAGATTCCGCTGACCTTGTTCTTTGAGTCGACTCCAGGCACCCACCTCTCCGTGGCAGCCGCATCGTATAAAGCCAACGGCCGTGACGGTCGGCGAGGCAGGGGAGGAGGAGTAGACACACCGCCTCGCATAGCACGCCCGCACTTCCTCCTCTTTCGCCTTGATCCCGCTCAGAAGCCAAGCACACGACCATGTCGCCATCGACCGTCAACAAGATCGCCTCGAGCCCCGTATTCGATATCCGCTCGGACGAGACAAAGGGGTTCGCCAAGGCGCCGTGAGTCCCCCCCCCTCTCCTCTCTCCTGCTGTCCTGCGCTGAACACCGCTCGGACCTTATCGACCCTCCCTTGCACCGCGACGCGACGCAGCATCGAAGACGAGCTGGCAGGCCTGCAGGCGGTGTACAATGAAAAGACGCTGCCCAACGTGCTCCTCTACGACGCCAAGGGCCTGCAGCTCTTTGAGAAAATCACGTACACCAACGACTACTACCTCACGGGGCTCGAGATGGACCTGCTCGGCGAGCATGCAGACGAGATGGCCGAATGGATCAAAGATGGTGCGGCCCTCGTCGAACTGGGCGCTGGGTGAGTGTCGGTCGGTGCCTGCCCGCTTGCCTGCCGGCCTGCCTCGCCGCGCGGCACGGTTCGACGCCCGCTGTCCGTCTTGTTGTTTCCCGTCTCCTTTTTGACGCGGTCGAAGGTCAAGTCGACCACGGATCGATGACTGACGAACTCAATTCCCTTCAACACTCGATCATGCTCCCCTTCCGACATTCGACGCCGGATCGAATGCAGAGCGCTGCGCAAGACGGCGATACTGCTGGACGCCATCGAGAGGCAGGGCAAGCGGATCACGTTCTACGCCCTCGACCTCGACCACTCGGAGCTCACGAGGACGCTGGCCGAGCTCGAGGGGCGATACCGCCACATTACGCTGTGCGGCCTGTGGGGCACCTACGACGACGGACGCGCCTGGCTCGCCTCGACCAACGAGGAGCAGCGCGTGCTCCTCTGGCTCGGCTCGTCGATTGGCAATCTGTCCAGACGTGAGTGTCCCAGCTCGGACTTTGCCTTCCTTGCACGATCTTCTTTGCCCGCTTCGCACGACCATGAAGACGTATATTCGGCGGGGGAAGCTGGCGGGCACCAAGCTGACCGCCACGTTCTTTCCTGCCGCGCCGCCGACAACAACGGCGACGACAGAGGAGGCCAAGGACTTTCTGCACTCGTTCGGACGCGCCCTCCGACCGGGGATCGACAAGTTCATCGTGGCCATGGACTCAAAGTACAACGCCGTCTCCTCGATGACGCGCGCCTACAACGACAGCGAGGGCGTCACGGCGTCGTTTGCGCTCAACCTGCTCGACGCCTTCAACGCCAAGGTCGGGTTCAAGGCGCTGCCGCCGTCGTCGTTTTGCTACTCGCCCTTCTTCAACCAGGCCCAGGGGCGCAACGAGGCCTACCTCCGCGCGCGGCACGGCGTGCGGTTCGAGGTCAACGGCATCGCCGTCGAGGTGCGCGACGAGGAGCTCATCCGCTTCGCCTACTCGCACAAGTACGACAATGCCGAGCGCGACCTCCTCTGGCGCGCGGCTGAGGCGAATGTCGAGCAGGAGTGGCTGCATTCCCCGCAGTCGGGTAGGGCCAGGTACTCGATCTCGCTCCTCTCGTTTAGGGATTGACGTAGGAGAAGGGCTGCGCCCCGTGTGACACGACTCGACGATTTCCACCGACAGACGCAACGCTGAGCAGCGCTGCGATGAGGTGACATCGACTTGAGATGCAAATAAGTTACGACCGGAGACTGAGACTATAAGTTAACAAGTGTCCGTCAGGCGGACCTCTACCTCATCACCGGGCACCCATGCCCCGGCCCGGCACTGGCGTCGCGACGGCCCCGACTACGCGTCAAACGGCTCGATGACGATCTTGACACCGCTGACGCCCTGCTTGCACTTTGCGAAGGCGTCTTCGATGTGGGCGAGGCCTCCGGGTACGAGGGTGACGCGGTTGGGTCGGAACCTGCCCGTGGCAATGTATCCGCGCTCGCCGCCGAGGTTCTCCATCAGGGGTTCGCCGAGGTGGCGGTCCTTCCATGCAAAGCCGCGCGTATTGAGGAACTCGACGTTCTTGGCGGCGGCCAGCCGCGTGATTTCGGGCGTGGTGGGGACGATGATGCTCACCTTTCCGCCGCCGCCGGCGAGGCTGCGGATCTCGGTGGCGAGGAGGACCGAGTCTGGGACCGAGATGGTGTCAAAGACGACGTCGATCTCGGCGGACCCGGCGGCGTCGATGTAGTCCTGGGCGGTGGCCGTGGAGCGATCGAGCACGGCGTGGGCGCCGAGGCTGAGGACGTAATCAAAGTGCGACGGGCTCGAGTTGGTAATGACCCTGTCGAAGCCCGAGAGGAGGGCGAGCTGGATGGCGTACTGCCCCACGGATCCCGAGCCGCCGAGGATGACGATGGCCTTGCCCTTGCCCACCTGGTCCCCTCCCTGGTCCCACGGCGCCGTGAGCCCCTGTCCGTTCTTGTCGTAGAGGGCCGTGGCGGCGGCGACGGTGGCCACGGTGACGGTGGCGGCCTCGCGGTCCGAGATGTTGTCGGGCGTGCGTCCGGCGAGGACGGCGGGCAGGACGGAGTACTGCTGGAAGGTGCACGCGTCGGCGGTGCCGTAGATGCCCTGGTAGAAGACGCGGTCGCCCAGCTTGAGGTTGGTGACGGCGCTGCCGAGGGCGACGACCTCGCCGGCGCCGTCGGTGCCTAGCACCGTTGGGTAGGTGAGGTTGAAGACGTTGAACTGGCGGAGCTTCCAGTCGATGGGATTGACGGCGGCGGCCGTGTTGCGGATGAGGACCTCGTCGTCCTTGAGCGCCGGGACGGTGCGCTCGGACAGCTGGTGCTGGGCATTTGGCTCGGGGATGACGGCGGCCTTGAACGAGGTGGGCACGGACATGTTGGCGGCGATGTAGCTCGTGTGCTGTCGTCGGTGGAGGGCTCAGAAGAGAGGCGGAAGGTGCAGGATGAGCTTGGAGAGGGGCGGCTGGATCGGATGGGACTGGGAATGGATGGAGGAGGGGCAGGTTTTCTGGAGTCGACAAGCAGACTGGGGCCAGGTATAAGTACGCTTGCAAGGCCGCCGAGTGAGGGCAGCGCGACGAGCATCAGGCGGGGTCTCACAGCGGTGCGCCACTGTGTGTGGACAGGGGGAGTATCACCCACGGGCGTCCGTACGTACAGTCGGACAGTATGTACACTACGTGATACAGCGCGGCCCGCGGTGGACGGCGGCAGGCGACGCAGGCAGTCAGATGGCAGGCGAATAGCTCAGTTGGCAGCAGACCGTCGTCTGTGGTCTGTTCGATCCTGTGCCGTGGCGGCGCACGCGGCGCGGCGCAACCTGGCGGCCCGGCTGGCTGGTGGTTGCGGCTCGAGGATGGGCCGGCAGCCAAAGGTTGAGGTGCGGCGCGTAGCTTCCGCCTGGTACGGCACGGAACGGGACAGTACACAAGATACTTTGAGTCTAACTATGTATGTCCTTCTGCTTGTGCAAGCGCAAACGCCGACGCCGACGCCGGTGCGAGCGGCACATCAAGGCGGTCGACGTGGGGACAGAGCGAGGTCCGGTGCGCTGGGTCCAAGGACGCGGATTCGACGGGGTCGAGGAGGCCGGGGGCCGCATGTCGACGTGCGGAACCTTGGACGGCCGTCCAATGTTCGAACCAAGGCGAGGGCGTCGGACGAGATGGCGCCATTACGACAAACGGCGAGGTCGAGGGCCTGGCCGGGCCATGGTGTGCCACCATCGGAGTTACGACATCGGAAGGCAACCTCCGACGACGACGTGCGGGCGCGCCTCGTTTAAGTCCGTCGTGCGGTTGTCGGGCCGAGGACAGAGGCAGGGGCTTTTGCCGTGCCAGACGACGCCGATGGCAGCCGTTTGGCCTGGCACTCTTAGATTGCTGGCAGGCAGACGGGTCGCCGCCGCGCGACAGAGGGCCGTGGAGCGGGGCTGGGTCATGCCGACACGCCACCGCCATCGCCACGGCCACCACCATCATCATCACCACCACCACCTCTAGCATCGACACTACTAGTCTGGGCCCGCCCAAGGGCCAAGCAAAGAGGCGCATGCAATCCAACAGGCCAAGGCGAGGCCCACGGGCTCGGATGCCGGAGCCGGCACTGGATTCTATCTCGGCCGAGAGAAGCTGGGACACGGTCCGGTCGGGGCAGCTCTAGGGGGCTAGCCAGCCGCGGTTTTGCTGGTCGTCGCGGCTGGCTCCCTAGCTGGCTGGCTGGTGGCTGGCTGGCTCCTTTTGGCCGGCTTTTGCTCCTCTCTCTCGAGACTCTCGAGCTTGCCTGTTTGCCGCTGCAAAGAGGAGGCTTGACGAAGCCAGCCGCAGGTCGGCGAGTGGGCGTCGCAAAGTGGCTGTCCGGGCTGGCTTGGCTCTTGGCCGTCGGCTCGTTTGCGCGCGTCCCCACCTTGACCCTGGGGGGGGTCCGGTCTGCCAGCCAGCCAGCCAGCCAGCCAGCCAGCCAGGCGGCGCAGAAAAACACGCGGCCCCGATCTGACGACGCGCGCCCAAACAAGCAGAGGCCAGCGCAGCCAGCCAGGCGAGGCAGACAGCCAGAGGGGCGACCATGCTATGGGCCAGCGAGCTGCCCGGACCCGCCTGCCTGCGCGTGTGGGTCGGGTGTTGCTCTCGCTGCTGGGGGGCGTCTCTTCGCCGGCCTGCGTGCGGGCGAGCGAGCGTGCGAGAGGGTGCGCTTTCAGAAACACACAGGCTAGGCTGGCAGAGGCAGAGTGGCTAGGGGGCCGCAGTGCGCGGCGAGCATACACACACACACACACACACGAGAGCGAGGCTAGGCCTGCCTCGTTCGCCCAGGCCCACCTCCAACAACACCAACACACGGCCCTCGAAGCCTTCCTCAGCCCCTACCCACCATCGACACCCACCAGCCCGTCAACCGCCCCCCCGCCACTCCCTCGTCGCGAGCCGTGTCAGCCCCCCTCGGCGGCGCACCACCCTCCTTGCCCTTTCTCGAACCGGTCCCCTCTTGTCGATGGCCGCTCAACGTTGGCCTCCTCTCGACCACTAGGCCCACCTCCCTCCATCCATCAAACGCGGGCGTATCCACGCCTTGCCATCGTCGACACCCTCCAGCCCACCAAGGCGCCGCCACGACCACGGACCCCCCCGCGCCCATCGACCTCGTCGACCTACGCTCCATCTCTCCGGCTTCTCTATCTGTCTCAAAGCACACACACCACGCACACGCTCCTTGTCCGCTTGCCCCTCGCATCACTGGCGCTGCGTTCGGCCTTCAGACAGACACCGCCAGCATCAGCGCCGCTCACCTCGGCGGCTGTATCACGCACCGCCAAGAAGGCGGCGATAGCCTCAGCTGGAGCAGCATCACCAAAACAGCAATACTAGACACCACACGCAGCCACTCGACACCAACCTCGCCTCGTGCCGCGGCTGGTCCGCCTTGCCTCCACGACCGCCTCCGCCGCCATGGACAGCGGATCCACGGGCGAAGCCAGCGTAGACGGCCTCTTCCACGCCGGCTCGCCACCCTCGTCCCCCTCGCCCGCACCTCGCGGCAATGCCCCGCCCACCCCAAAGGAAGGCGGCATATCCGCCAGCCTCTCCTTCCGCCCGCCCCCACGCCCCGGCTCCTCGATGCGCAAGGGCAGAAAGAGCGACTTCAACAGCCCCGCCCCGCCTCCCCTGCCCACCGCCTTTGCCCACGAACCCATGCCCTTTTCCGACGCCACCAACTTTGAGGGCTACGGCCACCCGGGCCCCAGCGCCTCGACCCCCTCGCGCCCCTCGTCGTCGTCGTCGGCCGACCAGCCCGGCCTGTTCAACTTCCTCGCATCAAACGACAGCGCCCACCGCGCCATCGACACCACCCGCGCCTGCCGCCAGAAGCTCCAGGCGCTGCGCGAGGAGAACCAGACCCAGGTCAACTCGGCAGGTCTCCTCGGCGCCGGCCTCCTCGAGCTGCGCAACCGCATCGAGGCCCTCATGGACGAGCTCGCCGACGAGCTCAGCACCGCAGAGGCAAACGCCGACGACAGCCACGACACCGGCAGCAAGATCAAGCAGCTCAGCGAACGCATCGAGGCCGAGATCGAAGAGATGGAGTACCAAAAGGGCAAGCTCTACCGCGACGTCATGGCCCACGGCGCCAGCGAGCTCGCCGCCGCCGACCAGAGCATCGTCACCGCCACCGACTCGCCCTCCAAGGCCGCACGCGTCGCCTCGGCCATCAAGAACCTCACCGGCACTACGCCCTCCAAGGCGGGCGGTGCAGCCACCCCGGGCGCGCCCGCGTCGGCCTCGGCGGCAGGCGCAAAGGGCACCGGGATGCCCACGCCCAGGCAGGGCGACCGCAGGTCGAGGAACGCCGCGGCCAGGCAGGCCAAGGCCGACAGCGAGCTCATCAACGAGATCCAGGCGGGCCTGGTGCAGGAGGTGCGCCGCCTCCAGGGCCTCCTCAAGGAGCGCGACGACCAGCGCGGCGCCCTCGAGCGCACCAACGCCGAGCTCGAAAAGCAGCTCGACCTGTTCAAGCCGCGCGTCATCCAGATGACCGAGGCCGAGGACGCCCTCAAGCAGGAGAACTGGGACCTCGAGGTGGCCAAGCAGGGCCTCGAGGAGCAGCTGGGCGAGCGCGACAAGCTGCTCAAAAAGGCCGAGCTCGAGACGACGCGGCTGGCCAAGGACCTGGGCAAGGCGCGCGAGACGATCGACTCGCAGCGCCTCGAGCTCGACGCCCACCTGGCCGAGCTGGAGCGCACCAAGAAGCAGCGCGAGACCGAGGTGGCCATGGCCCGCAAGGAAAGGGCGGGCATGCAGCGCGACGTCTCGGACCTGCAGAGCGAGCTGCAGCGCTACAAGGCGCAGCAGCTCAGCAAGGGCGGCCTCGTCTCCCGCAGCGTCTCCAACAGCTACATGACCGAGCACGACGCCGGCGACGACGACGACGACGACGCCGGCGCAAACGACCCCGAGACGCTGGCCGCCCGCCTCCGCGCCGCCTACGCCAACGAGGTCGGCAACCGCTCGCCCGCCGACTCTGCCTACTCGGACGACCTCGGCCCGCGCTCGCCCGCCGTCGGCCGGCTGGGCCGCGACAAGGAGGCCCAGGACCTGCGCGCCAAGCTCGCCATGGCCCAGAAAAAGGCGGGCAAGGACGCCGCCGAAAAACGCAGGGTGCGCGAGAAGAACGCCGAGCTCAAGAAGCTGCTGGCCAAGGCCGGCGTCAAGCTGCCCGCGGGCCTCGACGACGACGACGATGTCGAGACGAGCGACGACGAAGAGCTCCAGTGGCGCGACGAGCACGGCGGATCCGACAGCCCCTCGGTCAAGCGCCTGTCGGCCTCGAAGCTGCGGCCGGGCAAGCTCGGCAAGCGGCCGTCGATGGCGAGGCGGCTCGGCATGAGCTCGAGCGCGTCCAACGACTCGATCCTCGAGCGCAGCGAGGAGCTCGACGACGAGCTCGACGAGTCGACCACCGACGGCGACCGCACGCTGGCCAAGCAGCACGCCGCCGTCGGCGACGACAGCACCTCGACCGAGGCCTCGCCCCGCGCCAGCCTCGAAGGCTACGACCCGGCGTTTGCCGACGTCACGCAGGCCGGCTTCGGCACCCCGGCCACACAGCCAAAGTCGAGGCGGCAGCCGGGCAGGGCATCGGCCGCTGCAGCGGGCCGGGGCAGCCCGCTCGCCCACGCCGCCATCCTGGCCGACTCCGACGAGGGCGATGCAATGTCGCCGCCGCGCTCCAAGAGCCGGCAGCAAGGCCGCAGGAGCCACGCCGCAGGCAGGCCCGAGTCGGCCGTCTTCGAGCCGAGCGCGCTCGGCAACGAGCTCGAGAACCTCCGCGGGTCCGAAGACTTCGAGGATGCGGGATCCGGCACCTTGGACGTCGACACCGACGAAGCAGGGGAGGAGGAGGAGGAGGAGGTGCGCATCGCCTACGAAGAGGTCGGAGTGGCGACGGAGCCTCTGCCCGACCTGGTGGGCCCGGCGCTCGAGGAAAAGGAAAAGGTGCACCTCGCCGCCATCGCCCGCCTCCAGGAAGACCACGCGACCGCCCTTTCCGCGCGGGCCGCGGAGCACGCCAATGCGCTCGCCGCTGCGCAGGAAGACCACCGACGCGCGCTCGAGCAGCTGGCGCGGAGCACGAGGAGAAGCTCGTCGGCAAGGACCGCGCCCACGCC